TCTGGTCTGTAAGGATGGATCTGTCCCAATACAACTTGTAGTTTTGATTACAGATCATACTGGACGGTACATACTTATAATCAAACCTACTCTCCTGGATAAGATTGTGCCTAAAAGCAAGGGCGTGGTGAACTATCTTTCCTACAGCATCATGTCGTCGTTTGTAGTCTGTAGCTGCTAGTGTGCTGCATCCTGCTGTGATGTGCTCGATCGTTTCTCCAGCTTGGCCACATATACTGCATTTGTCTTCAACTATGTTTGGATCCTTGACAATATATTTGAGGTAATTTCTTGTAGGCATGACTTGGTCCTGGATGGCAACGATGCATCCTTCAGTTTCTGGGAAAAGTTGGCCAGCATATAAATAATGAATTGACCACCTTTTATCAACATTTTCAGAGTCTAGAATTGCTGGGTATCTTCCAGGCAATTATTATTATCATTATTATTATTGTTTTTTGCTTCACAGGTATTCTGGTATTCTTGACTGACAGGAAAATTAATCCCGAGGTCAGCCATAGGCAAAGTTAGTTGAAGAACTTCCTGACTGTTCTACAGGTACTGAGGATTGCTGCCTTCTGGCATTCTCTTAAATAGTTAAGGTCAAGCTTCATGACTTTGAGGTTTGTGTGGAAGTTTTTGTGGATGAGGCCGTTGGCAGAAACAATAAATGGGAGTATAAATGTTTGATTTAATTTGTATAGTTGTTGGACCTCGTATGAGAGCGATTCATACTTATTTGTTTTTTCGGTTTTTTGTATATTTTCGTCAACTGGTACCGCAATATCTATGATATAAACAATCTCCTTACTTTTGTCGGATACTAGTCTGTCGGGACGGCTGTGATTTATCGATGTGCTGGTCAATATGCTTGTATCCCAATAAACAATGACACCTGATGATTTATGTTTGAACAAGGGGACGTATTTGTATGCAGGCTTGAGATATTCCAAGATGAGTTAGTTTTTGCAAATACCCTGATGTATTATTTTTGCAACCATGTTATCCTCGAAAGGTATTCCGTTGGAGCTAGGGAAGGACATCCAGAGACAACCTGTTGGATTGATTGAGCTGTTGTATTGTACCGACGACATCTGTCAGAGGCAATCGGTTGGTTTTGTATATTCTTGATGTGTGGTCTGGTAGGGACCACTTGATCTTAAATAGCATGTAAGGCACCCTCTGTTTCAGGAACAAGGTATCCTAGCTTTAGGTCTAATAGAGAAGCCCCATAATTAATGTATTCATTATTGAGGGCATTGAAAAATCTACCGTGTAGTGGCTTTTGTCGCCAATCTGTAATCCTGCTATTGTCTGTATATGAATCAGGTCTGCTCTTGGAAATTACATGATCCATTCCTATCATACGAATTGCGTTATGTAATGGGTTGGTTGACGGTTCAAAGTATTGCTCTTGTTCGCTTGGAATAATCTCAAGACCTCTCCCACCTTTTTTTCCGTTGGAGATACAGTCTACAGATAGATGACTTAGGGTGATGAATACAGTACTTAGTTACTGTTGTTCTTACATCAATATCAATTTTTTTGAGGGTTGTTGCTGACCAAATATATACATTATTACAGGGAAGGCCCAAGTGTTCAAAGCTTGAATAATGTTACTGCTGCTTAGTTTTGTCAGAAGGACATGCTTAACGCGCTCCTTAAGTCTGGCGACGACAAGTTCTTTAGTTTTAGCAGCATTAAGTTCTGATGCCTGTAAGACAACAAGATTTTATTATTGTTATTATTATTATTATTATTATTATTATTATTATTAGTATTATTATTATTAGTATTATTATTATTGTTGGTATTATTACGATTATTATTATTATTATTAATTATAGCTTTGCAATTTGTCGGAATGGTACGGGACCGTAATTCTGACTTTTTCTTTGAAAAAGGCCACCGCGGTGACCGAAACATCACTGAGCACTCAATCATACATATGTAGTTTCACTTGATGATCAAGAAATATCGAAGATGGTAGATGTTATAATAGTACATATCCCTTAGGTCATACAAGGACACAGAACCTGCGGTGGCTCAATCAAGAATTCCAACCTCTAGGTGTTTCTTCATAAACTTCTTGTAAAAACCTCTTCTAATAAAAAATGCGTTCTCTAACGAACAATGGATGAGCCCCATATTGAAATATAAATAGCAATAACTCTACCTCATAAATGGGCTTCAGTACGTATAAACAACATTCCTGTTATCTTGAAGATATCACACCAAGCATCTTGTTTGTCTTACCACACTTGCGTGGACTTAAACCTTAGCTACCGTAGATTTTAATCATGGTTTTACGTAGTTTGAACAGTGGCTTGACAAAATAGAATTTCAACTTGAGAGGAGCCTGGCATCTGTCGCAAGCCCGTAGTACGTAAAAACATAAATAATGTCAAAAAAATGATAAAACGTTTAGTCGATTAGTGGTAAGGAACAATTTCAATTTCAAACTCAATTATTGTAGTAAGTAATGAAAGCGAAATATTTGCATGGAGACTACATGGTGTTTTATATAGTAATAATACAATTGAGAGATCAACATTAGCAATGTATCAGAAATAAATTAAATAAGATGAGCATAAAAACTACCAATAAGAAAATCTTCTGGTATCAAAATTGAATTGAAAATGCGAATGTTTTTCAGTTCAAGAATTTTATTACTATTAAAATAAAAAGAAGATAAGTATAACAAATAAAACGTTCATAACAGAAAACAAGACTTTCTCAAAATGTAAGCAAAATAAAACCGAAAAATAGTTACTGCCATGAATTATCAGCATTAGCTCCATTGAAGATTTAACTAAAATGACAATAATAACGGAATGTAAAAATAAAACCACAACCCTATACTCTCGAAACCAAAATGCTAAATTCTGTGTTTGAGCCGAAAACACTACGCAGAATTATTGCGATAAATCTTCAGCTAGTGAGTTTTAAAGTAATAGTTTTCGTAATCTTCTTCCTAAAATATTGATTCGTGCTTTCTTAGCCGTATAAGCATTATTGAACCTAACCTACAACATTCTTAAGACCGGGATCATCAACAAGTGGCACCATTACTTCCCTTAGGTTTCACCAAGCCATTTGATACGATAAACCATGAAGTTTTGATAGCTAAATGCAAATGCAACAACTCGTTGAAACTATTGATAAGTAGCCTACTCACAAATAGATCTCAGAGAGTCGTTATTGATACATACTCTTTTCCTGGATGTTCGATTTCCTCGGGAGACCACGAGGCTCAGCACTTTGACCACTTCCATTTCTCTTGTATATAACGGATTTAAACAATATTATAATTGAAATTGAAATCTATTGAAACATATGCCGTAGAACATAACCTTCATTTAAATTTGTCTAAATCTGTTCTATTAAAACTAACTTGAAGATATGATTAAACGGCAGTGTTATTCAAATTAAGGAATCATGAAAAAATTTAGTGGTTTGAGGTATCTTTGACCAGCACCTCAAGTTCGTCCCTCATGTGAATAACATTACTAAAAGAAAAATTGTTATCTTGCAGTACATTATATCTTAACAGGCAAATACTTGATTTTAGTATTGAAAAGATTCTATGCGAAACTATGATAAAGTCAAAATTACTTACTGCGACTTGGTATATCATCCATTTTTAGATTGTATATCCGTGAAACGTTGTCAAATAATACAAAATTCCTGTTGTAGATTGATTTTTAACCTACGTTAGAATCTCACATTAGCTCGTATTTTGAACAGCTGAATTGGTTAAACGTAACAAAATTATTTAAGTTTCACTCATTACGTTTTGTGTACAAAGTGTTAACCACAACATTTCCTCCACTCAAGGAATGCTCGTTTTGTGAAGATATGTCTTCCATAAGTGCTTTACTTATAATGCCGTTATGCTAAGCCTTCAGATTTGATAACGCTGCTGCAAAATAATGTGCTGTTCTGTATTGCTTGCCATTGTCGTGTTAAATGTCAATGCTATTATTTTTATGGTGTATCTGCCAAATATCTTACTCATCGATAGTCACTCTTGGTGAAAGAGATAATCGTTTCTGGTGCTCAAATTTTGCAACTGAGGCGGGATGGCGCTGTCTACAAAAGTCTGTTAAAACCGGCAATTTATATAATCGATTTTTAAAAAATCGAATATTATGATTAACAAAATCGATTATCTAGAATCGGAAAGAGTAATCGCCTAATCGCTCATTTTTTAACATCCCTACTACCTACCCCCGTTGCACAGAGCTTATTACACTCAGTGGAAGAAAATAGTAAAACGACTGTATCGGAATGAACTTTTGTATATGATTAACAAATATGAAGAAAATGATGCAGTGTATATATTCATCCAGTCGTCAAGGCATGCTGATGATGAGGTAATTTTTGTCTTAGTGAGGTATCTTATCTCAAGCTGTACTTGGTTCCGAAAGGCTGTTCGCATTTGTGAAGGACGAGGTCAAAAGGTAATCTTTCTTTCTATTGCATCACACACACTTTCATTGGGATAAAGGTATCCAGATCAAGGAGGACAAGAAAGCAGGCTGATTTGAGAGTTATTGCTAGAAAATCGGGTGCCCTAGAGTTTGAGCAAATGGTTAAAGGTAAGGTTCTAGTATTTCCTGCCGTCATACCTCATCTAATGGAAACTAGAGGGACTTAGCACCGTATGTAGTGGTACGTCAAGCCGTGAGTCCTACTTCAATCATGCTCAAATCAACTTCCTTCCCTGGCCTCCTAGATAGTCCATTGACCCGTTAGACATACTTGTGATGTGATGAAAAGAAGAGCGACTTTTTTGATCCATCATCTACCAACTTCGTTTCAAAATTCAACCTTTTGTCTAACCGTATAAAAAAGTCCATCGAAACAAAATCATTATTACTCGATAAAGGTACATCGCTATTCATTTTTAAAGAAAAAGCATCTACGCCACTGAGCATGATATAAACAATCAGCAATGTTTAAATGACAAGTCAAAGCCTGTTTCAAAACAGTCACAAACAGAATTGATGACGGAAGTATGGCATCAAAGACAGAAAATGCAGAGAAAATGGAGGTGGTTTTCGAAGTTGTTCCCCCCGAGGGGGGATGGGGACACGTCATTACAGTATCCCTTGTTATGATGAATGTGAGTTTGAGTGCGTTTTGGTTAAGGATAGTGATTTCATTTAGTTAAGTGGTTAGTTGGACTATGTCGAGGTCTAGGAGCTGGTATGTAGCGTAAACATAGCAGAAGCTTAACGGTTGTGCGTATAATTGTTAGAAAACTTGGTGATGATGCTTATTACATTTTTAATACATGATATAAAATGTTGCACTTGTTTAGAGGTGTCTTAATGTTACAGATTACCTTTTTATTTTACATGATAAAAAGAAAGTTATCCTAATCAAAATTATTTTAACGACTTAAAAAATTACCGAAAATTTTGTTTTTACCTTTACATCTCTTGTCGAGGGAAAGTCTTGGGAGCAGGATACTATACTGTTCCAAAGGTCTAGTAGGTTTACACTCTATATAAAAAACTAGCTTATTTATTATTTCCAGTATTGTTGTCGTCAATAAGCTACGTCAGAACTAGCCTACGGTCAGTCTTTTACGGAAAAGCATTAAGGTTCTAAAACGAACCAAGCTTGTGTCGCTTAATACCTTGGACATGGAATAACTTTGTCATACGAGAAAGCTATTTGTTGTTTACTTATTACTTCTCAAAATAATTCTCATCACCCTGAATGCACTCCACCATTTGCAAGAACCAATAACTAACCGTCAAACCCATTGCTCCTTAATAAAATCACACAGCATCTCCCAACTCGTGCACTGTAGCAGTCATTTTGGAAGAAACGGTTGCTGAAACTACTCAGGGATAGAATCGGCAATAGACAGGCTGACGTTGGTTAGTGACTTGATTCTAATGATGGAAATATCACAAATTATCAAAAAATGTAATTTAACGTGGGTAACGTAGGTAGCGTGTGGCGTCTGTCGCGCGACTGTTTTGAGATGAATTTTCAGCATCTTCTCATTATACTACAAGAAACGTCAAGGCTAATAGTAAATGACCTTTGATTTAGCACTGTTAGATTCTTATTTCAGCCAGCATAAGCGGAAATACCTTTACAAAGATACATACTTTTAACATAGGATCGCTGGTATTCGAGATTTGCGATCAAACGCGTTTATCATAATGGTGTCAAATGCTTCAGCCCTATCATGATGCCAATTTGAAGATATAATTAGGAAGCAATAGTCTAACGATACGACGACAAAAAATTATCGTCGCCAAAATTTCTGGAACTAAAGAAACTTTTGATCTGTCCGCGCGCAACGCGTCGGTGCGTTGTCAATGTGAAGATTGATACAACGAGCGCAGTGGCAAGCAATCTTCTGTATAGTACTGTCCAGCTGTGACTGTCTCTTGCTTACCAATCAGAATGCTTATCAACCTTATTTCAAGCCATGACCATTACTTTTCCAGTCGACCGCGACTTTTTGACTTGAAACAGTCGATCTTCACTTTCATTAAAACCAAGACCCGACTTCGACCTTGGTTGGTATATCATACAGGATAACCAACTTTTGTCACCTAGCAGTTTTAAACTCATGTAATATCTTCCCTACATTCCAATATTTTCAACATTTTTTTTACCAGGATAGCCTGGTCACGCTCTATGTTTGACGCATAATGCGTTGGTTGCTGTGTGGGGTAGCCGAATGGGTATAAGGATTCCTAACTTTCAAAGTGTACATAATTCTTCTTGTTCTTTCAGAAATATTCCGAGTCTCTGCTAATTATTTATACGTAATTCGCAGGTATTTCAAACGTTTAAATACCATCTGTCTATGGTTCTCAAAGCCGACTTGTTCTGACCAAATACTTGACCTTGTCGAGCAGTAGAAAGACGAAAAGTTGTTTACATTTTTCTCTCTGGTCAATAACAAGCGATATACCCATTTTTGTACCGGATAAGTAAGAACCGATGCGCTGGTTTCAAAAATGTCTTTCTTTCGTCTTTTTTTCTCTAGTTTTCGATGTTTAACAGATATAAAAAACAATCCGAAACAACGAACATTTTAATGTTTTTATTAATTATTATTTTTATACTCCAACTACCACGAACGCCTGAGGCCTCAATACCCATAAGGTACCGTGGGGTTATAGGGAGATACAAGGGAAAGGGGAACGTCACACGGACTCTGACGAGGGAACACGTGTACATGCAACATGCACACATTCTGGCCCCGCCTACGAGATCCGCCGGGTGGTACCTCCGCGTTCCACAGTCAGAGATCGTCTACCACCTACGGACAATCACAACATCCATAGCCAAGAGAAAAATTTCTCCTGGGACGGGATTCGAACCCGCACACCGCACGGCGACTGATCAGGAGACCGAAGAGTCTACTACTGCGGCCACCGCTGCCTGTCAAAGTTACTAAGTGTCCTTCAAACAGCCATTAATAAAGTCTCAAGGCATTTTGGGAGAGATTGTTATTGAAAACATTTACTTTTCAATTTCCAGTAACAGTGATGTTTATTAATTTGTTAATAAGCTTATATGTAGAAGTAGGAGGGACATACCGCAAGATATACCTAAGCTCATAAGTTAATTATCAGCAATTAAAAAACAAAGGATAACAATAACATACTTTGAGATTTGGTTAATAGATATTTTTTTCAAATACTAACTCGCCTATATACGGACACATGGAAGATATTTTTAAATCACAGAAATTAAAACGCTTATATTGTAGAAAGAGGTAATCACTATAAATCAAAATCATAGCACTTGGGCCTTTTTGTGTTATTTGCGCATTTTTCTTTAGGTTCACTAAGTGCTGCATCATCCCAAACTATACTCGTATAACAAGAACAGAAGACATGAAAAAATCATGTTCGATATATATGCATGTAGATAATTTCGTTTGCTTAAATAATATATGAACTTTTACTTGGTGTCTGAAAATTGGAATTTTTTCCAGTTAGTGACCTTGCTACCGCTCCTAGCATTTGGTCTTATCTTTGGAGGCTTTTTGGCTTCCATAGGCGACGAAACCACTGGCGCAACTGCATCAAATGGAGTTTATAATACAGTCCAGTCATTTACAGGTAAGAGCACCCAATAGATTAAGTATCTTCGCATGCGCTCGGAAAAATATTTTGATTCGTTTTTTTCTGCACATGTTATTCAAAAAGGACCCCTTTTAATAAATCTGAACGCTCCTGGTCTCAAAATTGCTCGAACAATTGGTGAGCAATTCAGAAAGTTCATTAATATTATTAAACAATCTATTTTCAATTATAGGGGGTATTATTATTGTATATCTTTGATTTTTACTTCTCAATCAAGCGCGCGCTCAATGCATATTCAGTATGAGCGCGCACTTGATTAACAATTGGAAAATAGGTGTCAAATGGGTTGATTCTGCACTTACCACGCACCGCCGCCATTAGTCCATGAGTTATTAAGTTCAAAACAAGTTAGGCACTCTGATAAAAAAGATAGTTACGAGCGTACATAACAAAAAATTAAACGAGCAGGTAAGGCAAACAGTGTAGAGACATTATTTCTCTGCGCTACCGACACTAGCATCTGGCAACGTCGCTCCTTCCCCATGCCTTACCGCACGACGCGTCAAACTCGGCAGCACGGCATCGCGCCACTAATGGCCAGACACTTATCAAGATCGGCATGTCAGAGGGCAGAAAGATACGTATACTGAAAACATGTCTCTATCATTCCGCTTTAAGGGTAAAAGTACGGGGAAAGCTATGGTGTGTAAGATATGTCTAATTGGTGATCAGAATTGCCAGGGTTGGGAGCCTATAAATATACTGACATCAAAGAATTGAGATATACCCTCTACCACGCAATACTTACCGCCAACCCAGCACCCCAAACTCAAAAATTTTTTTTCTGAGAATGATCAGGAACCTCTGAAACGTTAAAGACAAAGTTTGAGCGATTTCTACTTCCGTCACTTTTCTCGTCCCGTAGCTGTGCCGACAGACAGATAGACCAACCGACAGACATGCCATGGTTTTTCGTGGTGTATCGTACATATCATATAACATCCAATAAACGTAATATATCATATTTGAAATTTTCGCGACGACAATACTTCTTCGCCAGTAGGCGTGGAAAGTAAAACGTAGCTTGTTTAAATAAAGCGCAGAATAACTTTGATGCGCATAACAGCCAATGAGAATTTCCCACATTTTACTACCTGGGAGACTACTACATCTTCTGCCAATATTTGACTGATCCCCTGCTTAAGTAATGCAAATATTATGGTATTTCTTTTTTTTAGCACGTTCTTAAAATATAAAACAAATATTTTATTCCGTAATATTTTTTATGATATACTAACACTTGTAAAGAGATCAAAATATTATATCCGATGTGTTTATTGTTGCCATTGATAAATGCCAAGGAGATTCATGGGTAGAAGGTATATACAGATATTCCAGCTGCTAAAAAAATTAACGAATTTTCAAAATGTAGCGAACAGACCGACAAACCGACGGATCGTCAGACTGACATACTGATAGGCAGACCGATGGAAATGAGTGACACAGTTTCTCGTGATGTTCATGTAATATAAGATCTGGGAAACATATCTCACTTTCAAAATCTTTCGCGATCACTTCCTTGCCAGTAGCGTGTGGTTTACAATAACATTGCTCTTTGATATACTTTGGGGTTATTATTGGATGATGCAAGAATATTTAGGAACTTTGGCCACATTAATTTATTTCATACTATTTTTCGGGATCGAAAATTGCGTACTTGGCACTTTTTTTAATACTAAATTCCTCATATCTTGTAAATTTCAGAGAAAAATACATAAGAAAAACAAGAAAAACTTTGTACGGAGCGAAAAGAAAATTTATGAAATTTGTCTAAAAAAATTGTTCAAACAATTGTTCATGCAATTTGGTCCTGGAAACAAGTAGATTCATTAAAAGGTGTCCTTTTTAAACAAGATATATGCAAAAAATTGAATCAGAACATTTTTCCGGAACTTGGGGAATAGATAGTAGCTGGGACAATTTCGAAAACACGCTTCCAAAGAATCTAGTTACCGTACGGCTCAAATTTCCTCAAACTTTTTCGATGAGTAAGGAATCACTGATACAGAGCTCGAACTATTTAATCGCACCTCAGTTATAGCTTTTATACCTGATGCTGAATCTACAAAGGCTCTAAATGCTGTCAGTCTGAACTATAAGATAAAACTTCGTATTTTATTGTACTAAATATTGCCTCAGATACATCAAAGTACTATCTTGTATTGTCTGAGTTATTATTTGAAGAATACTTTCGTTCACAGGGATAATGTCAAGTATCCTGCTACAGAAGCTCAGTTATAGAGCGGTTGGCTTACTGGGAGCAACGCTCTTTTGTGCAGGGGCAATCGGAACAATATATGTTCATAACTTGATGGAATTCATTGTATGTTTTGGAATCGTACAAGGTAAATAAAAAATCTTAGCTTGACTAAGAGGGTTATGATCGCCCTTCACAATGGCTTAAACTAGGTTGATACACGCCACTTCTATTTTCACTCAATCGCAAAAAGAAGCCGATTTGCCTATCATCTTAGTAATGCAATCATATTAGCGGTTTTACCTCGGAATGTGAGATGATAAGCTGTAGCCTCGATGAAACCGTATAAACCGTTTTCTTGTAAAGTTGTCTGCAACTTTTGTTTCAAACATTTTTTCATACGATTAACCGTTTTTAAGCAGAGAGCGCGCAACGTTTAGCTAGTACCTTAAATAACAAAACGTATCATCTATAAATCATTAAAAATATATATTTATCAATTTTTTCATCAATTATAATATTTTTGGTTTTTTTTTGTCAATCATGTTCATACGAAATATATGCTTATATGAAAATTCGCAGTGACGAAATGAAGAAATCTGCCACCAATAAACTCATACTGTGTTATAGAGACTCCATAGTAAATATCTAGGATAAAGCTTTGCAAAAGATCAGGAGATTACAGGGTGGTTCTGTGACTATAATGGTTGACTGCACATAAAACTGAAAAAAAAATCGCAGAACCCAAATGGAGAATTCTGCCAACATAAAAGTCACATGCGCTGTAGAGACTCTATTGTATGCTATCAGGTAATCAAATAAGTTCCTGCGATTACGGTATATCGCCCATTGCCATGGACGTTGTTGATCGATAGCGATTGTTTGTTACCTGTTCTCACTTTAGTATGAATCCTTCTTTTCTCCCACACATAAAAAGTTGCTGAAAATTGTTACATACCTAGTTTTAATAATTGAAAATGGCGACGAATAAAATAGTAATTCGTTGTTGTTTTCTGTATAAGTACAAACATTCGGAGATGATCCCGTTAGTGATCAAACAGCACAGAAGTTTTTCAAAAGTTTTCTTCGGGAGATCTCAGTTTGAGCGATGCACCGCGCTCAGGGAGACCTAAAATCATGATCAACGAGAATCTTCGACATGCTGTTGACGCAAATTCCAGGACAACGTGCCAAGAACTTTCAAAAATGCGAGTCCCGCAACTATTTGTATCCATCTTCATCAGCTAGGAAAGACGTGAAAGTTAAGCAAATGGGTCCCACATGAACTGACAAATGATAACAAATTAAGTCGTCTTACCATTTGTTCAGCAAACATTTCACGCAACGCTAGTTAACCATTTCTTATAATCGGTTCTTAACCTGCGACGAAAAATGGACCTTGTATTCGAGCGCTCGTATCATTGGTTGTCGCCTACTGATTCGGTACCACACACGCCCAAGGCTTCCTTGCACTCAAACAAGGTTTTGTTGTGTGTTTGGTGGACAGCAACTCGAAGTGTCCATAACGAGTTTTTGGAAAGGGGTCAAACCATGACTGCTAACTTGTATTGTGAGCAGCTTCAACGAGTACAAGCAACACTCATCCAGAAACAGCCTTCTTTGATCAATCGGGAGAAAGTGATATTCTTGCAGGATAACGCCAAGCCTCATTTCGCAAAAGTGACCCGAGAAAAAATTTCGGAACTCGGCTGGGAAATGTTACTGCACCCGCCATATTCTTCCGACACTTCGCACAGTTATTATTACCTTTTTTGTCTGTTGACAACTGTATGAGGCACCGACAGTTCACAACCCGAGATGGTGTAATAAATGCGGTCCGCCAATTTTTTCACCCCAAATCCAGGGAGTTCTACAATACCGGCATTCAAAAATTGCTTCCACGTTAGCAAAAGGTCATTGAATGTGCTGGTAATTACTTGGACGGGTAAATAGTGTCTTATTGTTTCTCAATAAAAATGTATACTTTTCTACTAAGAACCGCACGAACTTATTTAGTTACCTAATATCTATCTGTCCTATAATCCCCTGATGTTTTGCAAAACTATACCCTAAATATGTACTTCTAAGGAGCCCCTACAATATACATGACTTTGTTGCATCTAGCTGCCATCTTGAAATTTCTTCACGCCAAAATATAGTAAACATGCATTCATTGTATCAATCCAAATTTCAGCTTGCTAACTTTACCCGTTTAAAAAGTAAAGAGGATGGGATCTTTCCATATCAGGATCCCTATCAGGATCCCTATCAGGATCCCTATTTTGAAAGTTACTGTTAAATGTCGCATAATTCTCGAAGTCACAGCCAAAACTAACATATTTCTCAACTGGATGTCTGGTAAACATGCTACTATTCGAAACACAATATGAACATTTTATCGAAACTCTTTTGGATTTCACTAACTCACAATGAATCACGGAAAATAATATAATTTACATATTGTTGTCGTAACATGTCATGTGTCTATTTGGAAGTAATACAATACCATATCATAATTATCCATACCTTCCACTACACAATCCATTTCGATACGGCTAGTTGTTTCAAAACGAGACACTTTTCAACTGTACACTTTTTGGCTACGAGCTCGTTGTTATTGTGACCTATGGAGCTAATGTTGTCAAAAGATGAATTGTGCATCTCTGAAGTCGAACGCGAAAAATTTTTTTGGACTTTTGGCCAAGTTTTTCAGTATCTGATACACCATTTCATTTATATCCATCGCACCGTTCCAAAGGCATGCTTCTGTAAGATTTCGGATATTGTTTTTGATTTTAAAGACTCCAAATGAAGAACTATCTACCTATCTATCTGTAGTGCCTGTGGGCAGTACATTTTGTCATTGATCACCGGGATTGTAGCATGACAGGTTGAAAGTCTTGATGGGATACCCCTCCGCAGGTGGTATGTCGATTGAGGCCTTTTGACACGTTTATACAATTTCCGATATCCTATTAGAAATTGTGAATCAGATGGAAATTTTTGTTGCCATCAGTGCGTTCAGACTTAAGCTTGAAACATTTTGTAACTGGTTGCTCGGTTTACGGAATAACATGCAACCCAACGGCGGACGCTTTGTCCCTGTTTGCATCAGGGTCGACTGTGCTGTCTGAATACCGTCTCTCCTCGATATCAGTGAACCTCTTAACATCAAAATGGTAACTTAAAGCCCTCCATACGTCAAACTTCTCACCGCAAGGATTAGCTTGTGAATCGTTAATCGTTTGGAGTCGCTGGAATACCGTTAGTGCAATGATCCGTAAAGCAGTGGCTGCCATATTAGAATCAGATCATTCATTTTGAAAAATTCGCTACAAAATAAACTATTTTCAAGTGCTGGCATGAAATCGAGACCATAAGAACCGGAATCGGTTCATTCAAATCCGTCTGCGGTATCATTCCTTTAGGGCGACTCATTCAGAACCGACCCAGTTTTAGTTTCTATATCGGATGCAATAACTAAAATTGTAAATCAAATACATCAAAATATTGATAACAGAATCCCTTCAATCAGCATTTTTGTTGATTTAAAGAAAGCTTTCGACACAGTTAATCACAAATTATTATTAGAAGCATTGGGGAGAATTAGTTTCAGAGGAAACGCGTACTCACTGATCGCAAATTATTTGTCAAATCGCCCACAATCTGTGCAGATATCAGGATCGTTTAGTAAATAAATGTATATTAACTGTGGTGTCCCACAAGGAACTGTCTTAGGTCCGCTGTTATTCAATATACTTATATTTAAATGATATTTTCCAAATTAATTGTGTTGGCAAAATAACCAGTTTTGCAGATGATACTGCAATATTATATGAAGGCACTGACTGGTCTGATCTGAAAAATGTAATTGAAAATGATTTTATCAAAGTTATTCGGTGGTTTAACAGTAGAAAATTAAGCAATAACTATTCTAAAACACATTTTTTACCATTTGGATCTTATGCTAGACATCTGCCAAATTACACAAATTTCTCCTTCAACAATAATGATCAAAAAATGCAAATTAATAGAGTGCCCATCATAAAATACCTAGGAGTGGTCTTGGATCCTCACTTACGATGGAACATCCATGTCAATTATATTTTAAAGAAAGTTAGATTTATATCCTACAAAATTAAATACCTTGGGAATATATTGACAGAAAAATATCTTCGAACATTATAGCATGCACTGATTGAGCCTCATCTCACATATGGTATATTAGCATGGGGAGCTGCATGTTCCTCACATATCTATAATTTAGATCTTTTTAAAAAAGTAGTCTAAAAATGATATTTAAAAAACCGGAACTTTATCCCACTGACAAATTATACTCAGATGTTCGAATGTATGATATAAGACAGCTTTAGTTCGTACACAGTATCACTCACTACCATAAATTTGTAAACACCGACCAAAAAATTAAACATAATCATTATACAAGGTACAAATTTCGTGGCACAGTAGTTCCTCAGCCGCATAAATCTATAATGCAGCGGTCATATCTCTATTTAGCGCCAAAATTTTATAAAATTATACCTAAAGGCTTAAAAGATTTACGTTTCGGGAACTGTTTCAAAAGAAATTTAAAAAAGTGGCCACATTCTATATCTAGTACTGGAATTCATAGACTCATAAATACGAACATCAAGTAAATACATAATCTACTGTAGCTAATTTTTGTCATTTGCATTCTACAGTTGCAACTTAAAATTATTGGTCCATGTACAGGCGATGCCTTCTATTGGGCCTGTTTTGATTTTATATTTATTTACTCATATTGTTTGTTATCTTTGTACATTGAGTGAATAAATATTATTATTATTATTTTATGAGTATCATCTGCTGGTCCAGTATGATAAATACTGTACCAATATGGTGTGAATATACCGAGGTCTAGCTTAAGCCATTGTGAAAAGAGCATGTTTTGTGTGGTAGATTTAAAATGATTCTGAAGGCTCTCATTTATCTTCCAGCCTTGGGTACTGGATTGATGATTCCCGCTACCTTCACAGCTCTCAACAGTTTCTTCCACAAGAAGATGAATCTCATGATGGGCATCGCCCAAGCAGTCATATCATTCGCAAGTATCATTTATCCTCCAATCTCAACTATTATGATCAGCCAATTAGGATTTAGGAATACTTTGATGGTCCTCGCAGGATTGGCTTTTTTGTGTTTTCCTGCCATGGCTGTCATGGAGCCTGTGCAAAAGTATATGGAGAAGGTTCCAGTCAAAATGTCAATTAACTGGGGTAAGTTTTTGAAAAGAGTGACAACTTTCCAAACAAATACGTACGAGGATCATTTTTAAAATAAGAACCGATTGTGCAGCGTATCCGCGAATTCTGTCACGTGAGGTCCATTCAACCTCCGACACTCTTGGGCAGTCTCTCACAATGCGGCCATTACGTTCCACGACGCTTTCGGTGTTTGTTGTGCGGTTATACTGCTTTGTTTGCCGCCAATGCCAAAAAGTTCCTCCAACCGAAACTTACCATCATCTTTACGGCATAAATATCTGATACATTTTATCAAAATCCTTAATTGCGTGTTTCTATAGTATGTTATTAAGAACTGGTTCGTAACTATTCGATCTTCACTCTGTGGGTACACAAGGCTTGTACACTAAGCAATCCGCCAAGTGCCCAAAAATCTTACAAAACCTTAAAAAATGTCTGACTGTCCTAACGGCTGACACATGTCACAACTTAGGATTGAAAATAAAAAAATCGATCTGAACTCCATTTTTGAGCCCGGCGTAACGGTCTGCCTGACCGTTCTGCTTGTACTGCGGCGGTGTTCGGTTGGCGCTGATGCGTCTGACGGTATGGGAAGGAAAGGGGCAACATTGCCAGATGGACGTAACTACCCGCAGGTCTGTGGACTGAATGTATGAGCCTGTTTGACTAACTTGGTCCGGTTAACTTCACTATTGTACATGTTCGTAATTGATTTTCTCTCAGAGGGTTTAACTTGTGAAAAATTAATCCTTCATGAACTGATGCCGGCGTTGTGTGGGGAGTGCAGACTCAATCTACTTCACGCTATTTTTTTATTTGGGATCAATGTGTGGAAATGTGTGTGCCCAGGGGTCCCTACATAGTCCAAGTCGCCCCTGGTGCAGACCCTACTTTTTATGTGTCAGTGAGTTAACAGCTCATGTTATTTTTCCAAACTTTATTTTCAGCTGCTCCATTACTACAAAAATCAACTTCCCTATGCGAAGAAGAAATAAGAAAGCAAACTAAGCCATTGTTGAACAAAATAGAAGAAGGAGTTCGGAGTTATGCTCATCACAGACTAAGCAGTGGAAATATCCTGCTTCCTGAGAAGAGGGTCTCCATTGTCAGTTTGGGTGACAGGGCTAGGTCGGTTGTAACAGTGGACGTTGATAACGAAAATGAAGACAAAAAGTAAGTTTTTTTTTCGATAAGATTGTACTGACGAAATCGAGGAACACAGAATATAGTTAAATCGATCAGTAGAGAAGCCTCATGAGTCACACCTATTGAATATCTTAAGCGAAAATGAAACTGTGTTGTTGACAAGCAAACTAGTTTTCAGTATCTTTTCTAGACCTAATATAGTATTTTACTTTTTAAAGATTAAAACGCCGAGTAACGTCTACAGTTTATTAATAATAATAATTGGAAAACCCCGATGATCTATTATTGACTTGTTTTTGTTGTCTTTGTAAAATATAGAGCTAGTGGTATAACTTGAGCAAAAGAATCATATTTTTCACTGATTACTTAGGCCGGCACTATTACCCGGAAACCAGTGTTATACCTTCCCAGAGGATTTTGATGCGGTGAACAGGTCTGCTAGAAGGTGCATCCCCAGTTCTGTTTACCTTAGATCTTTTTTGTAGCAGTTTCACCAGCTCACTGATTAGATACTGCCTTCGTGGATTGTCAATAGAGAAGTTATTCGACCTTTACATAGGAAGATAAATACATAGATTTTAAATGTCTCTGGGGCCATTTTTTGTTGTATTTTCGGTTAATTTTGTCTCACTGAATTTTGATTTTTCATCTCCGTACTTGCTGTTCTACAAAAATTACTGCTTTTTTCTGAATCAGCCTGTATAATGTCAATGCTAGGTGCAGTTTGAGCAATTTTTAGCATAAAAGTTAATTAGTTATTTGTATTTTAATCAAACCAGCAAAATTGATGACGTTTTTATCATCGATCGAATTCTAGTTGTAACGAATCCCTTTGTGGACAGATGGACCATCTACAGTGCTTTCTAAAAAGGTCCTTCAAACTTATTTTTTGATCAGGACAAGTTACCAGGGTAAAATTCAGGCTGGTGGAAAATATACATTAATACTGTCAGCGTTAAAATGGCAGTTGAAAATTTGAAGATGGCGTCTCAGCGGTTCCTTGGAATATTTTTCAAATGGCACGGGGGTCATATGGTACCTCAGTTTCAAGCGTCAAAGTATGCGAACTGGCAGGCTGTCAAAGTCTAGCGTATTTGTGGGTGGACCAATATCTTAAAATCGTGTCTTAATGCTGCATTTTGTGCAACTAATGAATCCGTTTTCTTATCCGTACTGATGGAACATTGTAACTATGTACTTGGAAAAAATCCCTAAAAACTAACAGCTAATCTATCAAGGTTGGGCATTCCTTAGGACGCAGGTCAATACTCTTTCAATCGAAACCAAGATCATCAAAATCAGTGAAGCCAAACAGAAGTTTTGTGACTTTTTCTGAAATGACATTCATCCCTCCCCCACCCTAAACTAAGCAAAGTCTAAGAAAATGACATAAACAAAAAAGTTTGGAGATATGAATCGTAATACATTAATTACGAGTGAATTAGAACAACGCCACCTAGCGGCTATTTTATGGAGCTGAAAATAATCACCAGTAGTCTTTCTTGGATATTTTCATTCTAAAACGTTTTAACCGATATGTCTAGGTTGAGCGGTTGCCGAGGCACAACCGGCGTCCTTTATCATTGGCCCACCAGGTACATTGAATCGCTTATAATTCTACAACTAACATCAAAACGCTATAGGTTTTTAAATGCTCAAAAATAACAATCTGTATATTAATGTAACCAGAATGCATGCAAAGAAATGGATAGGTTGTGTCTATGTTTTTAAACGGAAATGTCCCACATATGTAGACCTTTCTAAAAGAATAAGCTTGATATAACGTTTTCATGATTAATTCCTAAATTATAAGCGATTTAATACATAAATACAATCAAATCCGATAAAATCCGTAGGTTCGCCATTTCAAAAGATAAGAAACATATACTGGCTTATTAGGTACTGAGAAGTATTCCATTCCATTTAAAACATGTTCCAGGATAACGCTGCCATCTTCAATCTTTCTACTGTCAGTTTTAAGTTAAAAAGTAGTTATCAATTTCATGACCCCGAATTCTAGCACGCCAGTTCAACCCGTTCATAATATAAATGGGGGTGAGGTTTTTGAGAAGCACTGTATAACGCATTTCATCGAATTCAATGCAATTCATCGAAATTGACTCAAATATAATTCACTATGCGCAGATTAACGGACAAAAAACTCAATTTCCTGCTTTCCAGCTTTTAATGGTGAGAATATTATTCAAAGAGAAATCGTAAAATTGTTGGCCAGCATTAAAATCAGTCATTTTGATTCATCATTTACTGGATTGCGTACATTTAGGTGCATATTATTCATTTAACACAATCCACATAGTTTGTTCTGGTCAATATAGTGCCAAGTATACCAAGAAAATAACTTAGACGATATGGAAAATCACAAGGACGAGTACAGCTTTATTAAAAAAACTAATGGAAACGTACTTCGAAGATGCGCGAGCCGGCTTAAATCGCTAGTTCTAGCCACAAACATCTGACAGAAATATGATTATATTGCATGTTCAACTATCGTGCATGTCGTAGTTATATCTAAAACTATGTTCGATTAACAGCTGGTGAGATGCAAAGGATAATAAAGAGGCAAGTAACTAAAAGAAGCTTATCATAACCTCAAGTCGAATAATGTTAAAAATAAAAATACATTGTCATAATTGTACATAGATACACAATACAAGGCACACAAGTACGAGTATAAATAGAACACCGCTGCACAATACCACTGACAAACGTTTGATCGTTATCTGCCGGAAAGTGTTTAGACGGTCATTCATGTATGTCTGAAGCTCAAAAAATTGTTTGGCTCATTTTGAACTCCTATTATTCAGGGTCATTCTTGAACTCTGCTGGTTTGCCGTACAGTTTTGTTTATTAAAATGCTTAGGCTTATTGACTAGAAAAATTTTTCAAATTGGTCACTCTTATTTCCAGCGAAAAAATTGTTTCAAGGAAATAACAGTTAGTATATTACGTTCATTCTTTCACAAAGAGTACAAATATAACCACCATATGACAATACAAATTAAATCAAAGGAAACTGGCGCGCCATGGCTTGTGAGATTTGTGTCATTGTGTAGTAAGCTGGTATACCATTTATAGGTATTTGACGTTTTATTGATTTTTTTGGTGTCAATACCTTGACATTTATTTTCAAAATACTGTTCGTTTATTTCGATTTAAACGAGCATTTTTTATAGCCTTATCTGTCAAGACTCTAACTCATTCTTTAATCGCTTATAAAATTAGTATATTTTATAATTTGACTTTTTCACCACTAGCTCATGCTTTAGGCTTAGTAACACTATCTTATGTGAAACAGTTTTCCAAAATAGTGGGATAGTGTTTTTGTGAACCCGATTGATTGTGCATTTATCTGATTTTTTGTCCAGCATACGATGTTAAGGCACTGGTTACAATTATAAATGCACCAAGTACTGCTTTTTCCAAACGCCGAGCACCAGGTATTCGGTTAGATTCGAGTACCGAGTACCGGGTACTCGTCTGAGTTCTAGGTACACTGAGGTACTGATGATTATTGTAGCTACTGTTAGTGATAATATATTTGCGTTTTTAAAGGGCCTTTGTTTAAAATTCATTCACCTTTCTAAGAAAGTAACGCATCGCAAAAGGTTGTGCAGCTTTGATAAATAATTTGGCGAATGTAGCTCCGTAGGTCTTTGTATTTATGGTATTATCACAGGTTTTTTTTAATGTTTAGGACTAGCTATGTATATGTTTTGATTGTGGAATTCAGCAGCTATATTATTGAATTAGGACTGGAACCGTATTTTAAGACTATATCTGTGGAACATTTATATTTGTTACACTTTTCCATCATTCATTTTAGAATGAGAGCACGTTTGTGAGATATTCAAAGAGGGATATGCACAATATCTAAAGCATATTTGTTGAACGTAGGCAACGCGAGGTCCTAAGCTGCTCGTATTTCGAAGGTCTACCTAATAGAATCGTCACCATGTTATGGCCATAAATTTGAATCCTATAGGTTTCTGAGGTGGCTTTAAAATAAGGTTACGCAAAAGAAACATACAACTGTTGAAGGTCGTAGCGGGACCAATTCTAATTTCAGAGGTGCTAGGCCCAGTATAGCTGATATGGTACCTGCTACATGGACTGTAGTACTTTTATGAACAAACATGTAGTAACATATTGCATATAAAACTAGCTCACTGGAGCAAACAGTTGCCATTTACTGAAAATCAGGTGCATGATTCTGCAAAATATGCTGCAACCTTGGCTATTTCTATGACTGTGCGTTAATGTGTTGTGGTACATGTCAGAAAGGTTTGGGAAAAGCGTGTGGTTTTGCACTACACAAATGAAATTCTTTGATTTACACAGGTTGTGTTTCGTACGTTCAGACCGAGTAATTACCGGGTACTCCGTAAATCGACCTACTATGCAGAGTACCAGGCACAAGCCGAGTACACGATGCATCCCTAGTTACAATATTTGAAGTAGTGACATACAGTTGCTTTTACTTGTAGCATGTATTAGACAGCCAAGATTTATTATAAATCTTGTAAATTAACTAACAATATACAGCAAACATATTTGAACTCAGGCGAGCCACAGTTCAGCATAGTCACAGCGATCACAGCCAGTGGATCGATCGATCATAAAACCAATGCTGCTATGGTCGTGACCTTTACTCGTGGTAGTGACAAAGTATCGCAGTTTGAGCTCAGAGAAGAAAAAAAAAAGAATTTGAGATATTTTCAAAGGAATAGGAATGAAATCAAAATGACAATGACGTTTCATTTCATTTTACATCCCACGCCTACTGGCGTGGAAGTATTATACCTAATTATGAAACATTTGGAAGATATTATATGTTTTTTGGATGTCTTATGACATGAACGTCACAAAAAACTAGGTTTGTCTGTCTGTCTGTTCGCTAATCGTTGGTCATTCTATAATTTGGAAAGTAGCGCTTGTATTTTAATATTTGAACACAAGATACCTACTATACCAAGGATGAAAAAGCTTTGTAGTGTCTAGTGACGGCGGAGAAAAAGGTGAAAGACGAAAAAATAAAAAGCGCTCAAACTTAGTTTTTTAACGTTTCAGAGGATTCTGATCATACCTGAAAAATTGGGGGGGGGGGGTAGTGAGGGTTGTAGGGGATGGGGGAGGGGGTATCAATCACAATTCTTTGATGTAAGCATATTGAAACACTTCGAGCCCCGGTAATTATATGCACCTATTGGACATATTTCACACATCAGAGATTGCCTCGTACAGTTGCTCTCAATGAAACGATAGGAAAATGATTTCAACAAGCGTTCCTGCGTCCTCCGACTTCTGCGGCCACCGCCGGCGTGCTGGAGTTTGTCTGAGTTCTACATGACTGGTGCTATGTGGGCGCGAGTGATGCTTTCAGATATTGGAGAAAGGCTATACGGCGTTGCGGGTAGGACAGGGAAGTTGATTACCAATAAAGTTTTCAGTTCTGCCCTTGTGTACTAAATTTAACACTTAGACTGAAATTTCAAACATTATTTACAGAACATGTCATCCGTCACAGCTCATTGACCTCAGCCTCTTGAGAAACCCCAAGTACCTAAACATAGCCACAGGAATGGCTTTGTCCTTCACCGCTGACGTCACTTTTATCCCGATCATCCCGTCTGTGTTGAAGGGTGCATCGTTTTCGGAACACGACATCGCTATAGCTATGACTGTGTTCTTCGTTTCTGACCTTGCATGCAGGATCATCTATTCCATCGTGTCTGGGTTGAAGGAGATCAAGAATAGGCACGTGTTTTTGATCGGGACTGTCTGCTTAGCTGTATCTAGGACTCGTAAGTATATCTATTATCTGTAATACGTACTTGTAAAGTTTTCAACTGGACGTTACTTCCACATAGATCAATCCTAATCTCAAAGTTAGCTTGCAGTTGTACATTATACTAATTTTGCAAGTTCCGGTTAACTAACACATGCTTGGCATTTGTGTCTTACCGCATCCGAGACAACTCTTGTCACTATTCACAAAAATAAGTTAGGCAATGTATTTTAACATGTAGACCATCCTCTAGCAAAGTGAATTATCGCCTAAGGACAAACAAAACGTTAGGACGCTCCTTTTGAAGCTCGGTCTTTCAATTGCAAGTAAATTGTGACCTCGCGTTGATATATTTAGCAGCTTATAAGTTAGACTGCTTCCAGAATATGGACAATATCTCCTTTTGGTTTCTAGTTTTTAAAAATAAAACAAACTTTCAAAGTAGTTATGGCCAAAGATTAGTTATGCCTAGTGAACACACTTCGCGGAACGTTTATGGAATCTACGATGTGAAAAAAGGCTTGTAACTTTCTCAATAAATAAAGAGGCAAATGTCAATATGGCGGCTGAGCGCCATTTTGAAAACTTTTTAAATGAAATGGGGGAACTTTATTTTAAAGTTGCTATTCCTAACTAGCAAAGTGGTACTATAAGCTTTTGGTAAAAGAACCGTTCAGCCATAAAAGCTCTCTATTGTTGTTGTCTGAACACCAAAATGCTAGCTTAATGTTGTGTGGAATACAAATTTGCTTTCTGCCTAAAATGAGGTGTTTAAAATATTCTTATAGCATAGTTATACAACACCTTATAGGACAAACTTTTAACTGTTGTATAAACGTTTATACAACTATTTTATACGGCACATTTGCACGTTTGTCAAAATTGTTGTGTTGTGGCATCCATGGTAACGTTTATAAAACAAACCCGAGCCTTGCTCTTTGCTGTGCAAATTTACCACTTTAGCCAACAAATTGCTCTCAACGAAAGCACTTATACAACTGTTGTTTAGTAACTGTTAAAGGCTGTACATATGCAACAATATTACAACTTTTGTAGTACAAAATTGCTGTGCTCGGCATACATTTGTTGCTAAATATGTTGTTATACAACTTCACCATAACCTAACTTTCTGCTGTCATATCTTTGTTAAACTGCCATAATCAATGTTTCAAGACAAATAACGCATGCATATTGGTTCAAAAGGTTTTATCAACTGTTCAAACAGAAGATATAGATCTGGTACAAATTCTGGGTAAATCATTCGACTCTGCCGGTATTTCTTTTCAGGCATTAATTTGTCAAATTGTTGTATAACACCTGCAGGCAACACCAAAATATTCTAATAAACTAAAGACAACATGGACGATGCCATGATTATACACAACCACCCGCCATGTTGGGCAAACCTTTGTTCCTCTATTTAATATTAAATAATTATGTTTCAGATAGAAATTACAGATATAAAGTGATAAACATTAGTGTAATTGTGTCTAAATATATTATATATATAATATATTTGTGGAAGATTTAACGCAGATAAGTTCAGTTTTCCATCTTAAAAATCTAGACATACATTTGATTATTATTAAAATATGAATCAAATACGAAACCCGTAGAAATTGCGTAACTACTTTGCACGATAATCACAATAAAATTTGCTGTGCAAGTTATTCAATAGCCCTATATCACAGTGTAGAAGATTATTATATACCTGTGTATCAAATTCACAATGGCCGATATGTAAGTAAACAAGATGACTGTAATGTGTTAGGTTATATATTCTTCACTTCGTCTATACAATACATAAGAAATAGTTTGGTTGCAATAAGGTAGAATCACGTAACAGAATAGTGTTGTATAGTTGACAAAAACTGAATCTTGCACTGACACAAATGTCTTCTGGCGGCTGCAAGAGGCTTACACTTTTATTATATAACTGTTACCTGCAGCCCTTATACAACCTCTTAAATGACTGTAGTGTCTTATTAGGTGTGCCCATTCCGCTTGTATAGCTGTTCTGAGAGGGTTTTGCCAATGTTCATTCTTGCAACTTTAAGGAGTGGTAATTGTTAGTTGGGTTGTCTTTTCAATGGCGAACTGACAGGCTGTCAAATTTGAGCATTCTACATTCAACTTACTATACAGCTAATCATCAAATGTTATAGTTTGATATAGCAATATTCTTTGTTTTGGATGAGTCTATCTCAATGTGCATTAAATTATCGGACATTCAGTTTGACTTCTTTTTAATGAAACGTTACATATTCTATTACATTCTCCTATTGAATATTGGATTGACGTTCCATAGCGTTTTGATGACTGGTTGTTACTCAATCCACAAAGAGGTACAGATTTGACAGCGTGCCAGCTCACTGACTTAGAAGATATTAACCTTATAGTCTAGGGTTATAAATTATGGATGAAGAGCTTCAAAATGTTCCGAAATCGTGCCCAGTCACCATCTTGAAATTTTTAACTGCCACGCTAACCCTAGAATATAGTATCCACGGATTAATTTCATCCCAACTCCAAATTTCAGAGTCTCAATTTGACCCGTGCAAAAAACAAGTAGAAAGGGGTATTTTTTAAAAGCACTGTATATATAATTACTACTGGACAATAATGCTACTGTGTGCTACTGTAAATCGTCATAAATATGTATAGAATGCCAGAAACCAGTAAATCAAAACATCTCCAGAACATTCAAAACAATGCCTTGAAACAATGGACGGTATAATTGGTATGATGCGGAAAATAATTCTCATAACATGTTTTCATTGCCACTTTAAAATAAACCCAGTTATTATATTAATAATAGAGTGGAATAGTACACGGAGAAGTTAGCGTTCACCTCTGTACGTAAGCATAAAAATACCGATGTAGGTACTTATATAGAATGAACTTCGTATAGGAGAAAATTCTACTTATTTCTCCGGCCAATCGAGACCACATGTGCTAAAAAAATTGCTAAGGTTCAGTTGTTATATTAGTAAAAAATAGAAGGTTGAAGTATTTTGATATTGTTAGCTTATTTCAATACGTCATGCAACGTCGCCTATATTAACTAGTGATATTTTGTTTTCTTATAAATAAGCCCCACCCCCAACCTGCTACACACTAGCTGTCTGTGACCTACCACACCATTACAGTAGTGTTCATGTCCAAATTCAATCACCCCAAATTCCCGCTTGCTCTTTTCAAAAGATTGGTAAGCGGGACCTTTTGAGTAAGTACTGAATGTAAATCTATTCTTTACTTTTGTTTTACTCATATCTCTCTATTTAAGTAAAAATAACAAATTTATTATACAGATTGCTGCATGAGACAGGGTGTCACAAAATTCACTTAATAGTCGCCTCGGGTTTTTGGCATTTTAAAGGTTTACAATTATATATGTCAAAAACGGTGGTTCGACTTTCCAGAATAAACAGCATGGTGCGAATTTCTTTATTAGTCTTCTTTGCAATGACAAGCGAGAAAGGCGGGACCTTTTGAGAAAGTACTGAATGTAAATTCATTCCTCACTTTTGTTTTACACATATCTCTCTATTTAAGTAAAAATAACAAACTTATTATACAGATTGCTGCATGAGACAGGGTGCCACAAAATTCACTTAATAATCGCCTCGGGTTTTTGGCATTTTAAAGGTTGACAATTATATATGTCAAAAACGGTGGTTCGACTTTCCACAATAAACAGCATGGTGCGAATTTCTTTATTAGTCTTCTTTGCAATGACAAGCGAGAAAGCGCGTTAAATTGAATTTCTAGAAGAGAAACTGATGGACGTTGCACAACTGTATTTCATCACGTTATATTGTCAAATAAGTTATTGAACTTAGATAGTAGAGTAATATTCGTGCTATTTTACTTCCCATAGGATAGGGTATGCCTTCTATTACGATTTTATTACGATTTCTCAAAAACTCTAACATTCATGATTTCTAAAGAGAAACATGAATTCATGAAAGTGTGTGGTAGCCAAACTATTCAAAAACATTTATTTAAATACATGAAAAATGTCTAAGCTTTAATCAATAGTCAAACAAAATTCGAACAAATCTCTTAAAATAGCAGTACAAACATTTGTATGCTTGCTTAAACTACAAATATTTTAATAATAGCTCGCGTCATTATAACAAATTAACATAACAATGCTCTCTGCAAACCTACTCGGAAACTGCTAAGATCTAAATACAAGATCATTGTAACCAGAATTCGGTTAGGTGTGTTTTTGAACCAATCTATTAAAATCTCACCGCAGGTATTTTTTCCATGTTCAAGCAATCTTAATAATAAAATCTCATTTTGCGAGTTGTTCAAAGCACACTAACAAATACCTTTTGCTAATTTCGTTGTGCCTACACATAACAATGTGAAGATAAAAAGCTACCCAGCAACGGCTACGATCTAAATACAAAATTATTGTAAACAAAATTCGGTTAGGTGTTCTTTGAATCCATAACAGTCTCAGAATCAACATTTTTTTGTTGGCTTAAGCTATAAATATTTCACTGATAAAACCTTATTCTGGGAGCCGTTTGTGTAGCAATACCAAATACTTTTTCTAATATCATTGTACGTTATCTACTGATAATGTAATAATAAAGAACTTGTCATAAACGGGTAAAACTTAAACACAATATCCTTGTTTATTACCATATGTTAAGTACGTAATTCAACAAGACGATAAAAATACTAAAAATAAGAAATGGGGTCATGGAACGTCTTTGTTACTTCTCATTGTTATAAAAATAGAACACACTAAGTATAAATTGCATCCTTCAAAGTAAACTCCCAATGATTAACACGTACCCATAATTAGTAATGGTCCCAGTAGAGATCCGTGGAGACTTTCCATGCCGACAATCTAAAACATCGTGGACAAAAGCTTACCCTTGTCCGTAGAATAAAAAATACATAAACAAAGCAAAAACATATTGGATAACAGAATATATAAAAATGATCCGATGATTTGTATCTTAAATTTCAATTTTATTGTTATTAGGATGTAGGTTATTTTTCTCAAAACAGTTATATACGAGTATACCTTAATACTAGTTTAAGCCCGCGGCTCCGCGTGGAAGTAGTGTGAAGTTTGGATCAGAGGTCCTGCACTAGTTTAAAGGAGAGAAGCTTCTGAAAAATAAATGCATATACAAAGTAGTACAATAGTTACATTGGTAATAGATAACAACATATAAAATAATGCGAATGTCTCTGCAGTCTGACAGCATTTATACCCGGTTATCGACGAACTCTTCGTCGAATTTAGTTTTGGGAAAAAGGTCTTGAGAAAAGTTGTAGTTGTAAAGTGGTTTGTTGATTACCTCAAATATGACCTTAGAACGATCTCTGAGAGAATTGACACTCTATTACTAATTATCATCAAGGTAAGTCTTTCGCATCGCTCACATCATAAATGTTCGCTTAGTAAAAGGACATCAGGCTAAATACTCGTAATGGATCTTAGACCTATAAGCATGTTACACGAGCTTTCAAAAATTCTTGTTAAAAAGACATACAGAGGCAATATGAATTATTCGTGAAGTAAAACTAAGTACCAAACAAATCTAAATCAAGAAGATTAAGCTAAGAAAACAATGTCAAAATTCAGTATATGCAAATGGATGATATTTATATACCTGTACTCATTTCGGTCGGACGAGCGACTGAGCGCTTCCGCGTCAGACACCTCATATCAAATTCCATTAAGCCGTTTGGGCTGTGGGTTCGTGAAATAGATATTTCAAAGTTGTTTACCGGGAAAAAGTAGCCTATGTGCTGTTCCAGACTATGATATAACATACCTGTATCTCTATACTAAATTTCGTCCAAATCCATTCAGCCATTTTGGGGTGATTAGTAACAGACATCCACACTATCTCATTTATAATATTAGTATTATGTTATAACCTGGAATTTCCCTTATTTTTGTTCTTTCTTAGTGCTCACAATGCGCAGTGGCTATTGGTGGACAATGGTAATGCTAGCTATCCAAGGCTTCGTTAGATGTCTTATTCAAACTCCGCTGCCACTAGTTATGTCTGAGGAATACCATGACAATTTTTCTACTGCCTACTCACTGTATATGGTGGTTTGTGGATTTGTTAACCTGCTTCTAGGACCTTTAATGAGTAAGTCTTATACTTTATTGTTGAAAATATTTTTTGTAAGCTCATCGATTGTTTTTGACCATTTTTTTCATTTGGCTCTAAGAAAATATTTTTTTTATTGAATGATTTAGATTGGGATGATTCTTACATTTCATGCAAAATGCGAGTTTTATGTATTTCCTTATGAAAAGGTACAAGTGTCCCCTTTTTTAGGTTATGTCAAGGCAGCTACAGGAAGTGACGTCATGGTGATACATTTACTTACAGCAGCTTTTTCGATTTGTGGCACTTCCTGGATCTCTGAGATGATATACAGCAAAATCAAGAGGATGACAAAAAAGTGATGATAAATAGTACAATAGTTAGACTGACTTTGTTGATTAAGATATTTATTACTTTTTGTAGGTTTGCTAATAAAAGATTTTTTATAACATTCTTGTTTGGTCCACGTGAAGTTTAAGGATAAGAAGAAAGCATTGGCATGAAGGATAAACTTAATCCTTGGTTAATGTATTTTACCTGAAGATAGCTAGCCGTACAGAAGCATTAGCATAACACATAAATGAATTTAGAAATCCGCTATGAAAATAGTAAAGGTGTTCGGATCTGTTACTGTCTCAAAGATAGCACTGGCGTTTTGCAGATCCCTTTTTGGACGTAGAAGTACAATATAGTTGTCTATTTTCAAGCAGAGCATGTTGATCAATGATATAATCTAAAAAAACTCAGGGAAATATTCCCTTCCCAGTTTCCTCTGTCGCTCGCTATAAAACTTCCAAACTCCATGCAATGAGTTGTCACTCCTAGTGTATGACGGAGCTCGACGTTATTAAGCAACATCCAAGCAGCCAACGCTCGCTTCTCTGGAAGTTACACAACTCCAGCAGCTTGGAAGTTTCCATGCAACTTTTGCATTTAAAATGTCACGTTTGTGTGTTGTGTTTCGGTATAACTCGCCAAGTTTTTCTTAAAGCGCGCTAGACTTTGTCTCCGTTTTGTGTCTTTATGCTAATATGGAGCAGTCACATTATTCAGGAGAGTTGCAACTATAAACAAAATTTGGGCAGGGTGGTCTTTTGAGTCGAGTCATTATTTTTCATGGCTAAAGAATTTTGTGGGTTGAGTCCGATCTCAGATTTCGACATGTAGGTTATTCGATCTTTGGTATATAGCCTTGAATGTAATTTCAGTCAGAGATTAAAAAAAATGTAGACGAAAAAATCAGACCGCCATTTTGTTATTAAATAAAAAAATTTGAAAAGTATCTAGTAACACCTGAAACCAGTACCCCTCACGAGTATACGTATTGGTTTGGTTTTGCTATTATCTCACAGGTGACGCCAGTAGCTGGAAGGATGTTTAGAAACTGTGTGATATTTACTTTGTCATGTTAAGCGCCACCTATTTTACATTTCAATTATTTACTCATCAATAGCTTTATCCAATCTAGAAGGTCTCAATTCCCTCTTGTTAGTTTTTCCTATTATGCTTTTCACTCTTGATAAAGAGGTTTAAGAAGGAAAGTGGATAACTGAGAGAGGTCCGCTTGGCGCACTTTATCTCTTAAAAACAAGAATATAGATATAATGTCAATTTTTTATTTACATCGTTTCAAAAATACTGAGAATACACGGTACAAGTATTTTTCCCGCTGCAAGGATAGAAATTCAGGTACTTTCTTCCGATAAGCATGCTACGCTGCCTTCAAATTCTTTAGAGTAAACAATGTTTTTTGCACTATTGATCAAAACCTACCATCTCAAAACGTCTTAGAAGATTCATAAAAGTGTTACTGTTTTCACTATACAGATTAAAACTATGTAAATTCCTTGAGAACAACACGAAAAAGATAGTTGCTGGTCAAATAACATTCCTTTCAATATTATTTGTGGCAAATCACTGCAAATTAATCAATTATGAATGAAATTTTCAATTATGAAGGCTCAAATATATATTTTGTTTACATTTTGATGACGACTTATGATTTCAAAGGCATAATTATGAACGTCGAACATACCACTCGAATGATCTTTTTTGGCCAATCCACCTCTTCTCAAGGACTCCAAGTGCTACAAATAGTAGGAGTTATTTGCAAATAACTTATCAAAGAGTAGCTTTCCACAGCCTACGTGCTAAGATGGATCGATATTGCTTGCCAAGATCTTGGTTACCAGCCCCACCACGGACGTGCTTACCATGCGGGAAGTAACCTTTATGCATAAGACCGTACTATTGGTACTATTGTCGCTTAACATCAACAAAGCTTCTGGCCATGCTCTGATTACTGCTATTGTACTGAAGCAACGTGATCTGCTTTTTGATATCATTAAGGTGAAAGAGAGGCGCAAGAATCGAGACCTGCTGAAGTATCTGAGCATCACGACTTGATTAGCGACAGGCATGACTTCCAGCACTAGCGATCAACGGGAGACCTCCTAACTCACGTCATACAAGGACGGAGTTTTCTCTTCATCCCACAATGTCAACGCAGGTGCTCTCTATTTGTTTAAAGCTGAGAAGTACTTTTCTTCAGATGACCTCCTCACTTTGTACAAGGCCTAGTGCTGAATACTGCTTACCTGTTTGGGGTGCTGCCACCACGAGTACATTCTAACAGCGTCTAATTTCCTGCATCCAGAGTTGTCCCGCATGACCGCCCCTTCATTCCCAAGGTGTTGAGATTATGAAACAGTCTACCTGAGAAGGCTTTTCTTAGATCCACTAACCTTAGGCAGGATTCACTAGGTGTATCTAGCCTGCTCATAGCAGTCGCGGTGCTTCTGTTTACGTGGCAGCTTCGGTATACAAAAAAATGCGTCAAATGTCTCTATACTTCGGTAGAGGTTTTAACCAAAAGAGATGAGTAAAATCGTTTTAAAAGGCAAAATGGAATCGCAACCATGTTAGTTCTCTTAAGTATGAATCTTCGAACTCTGCATTTGAACGTATATAAAGCAAATCTATCATATTTCTGTTTCCATTGCAGATGTAGATGCGTGACTTATTATGTCACTGAGATCAGCAGCTTCTTAATAATAGAACATCTCTTCTGATACGAAACAGGAAACAATTTACATTTATTTGCCGTATACAGCTTCCGAACTGTGATTTTCATCTCGTCCAATGTCTGAAAATGAGCATTAATCTCTAAAACGTTGTAACACTATGTTCTAGCGATCTTATTTCCGCCGCCTTTGATTCAATTTTCAAAATCTACGACTACTTAAACAATGGAAGTATAACACTCGCGATAATACTCGAACATCGATTCACAAGTTTTCTTTTGCTTAAAGGTATCTGCAGCACACCAGCGCGTGTTTCAGATTTATGTTGGTTTGTCAGTCCGTGTCTGTTGTATGGTATATCAATGCGTCATAAGTACCGAGTCAATCTACTTGACGAAATAGTTAAAGAGCCATCATAGGCGGAGTAACACGAATTAAAGGTTAGATGAAATTGGTGGTACATTTAAGGATCATAATATTCCGAAAAATATGTGCAGATGAACGCTGAAGTGGTATACAGGGTGTTTCAGTTTATTGTTGCATAACTTTAAGATTCGATAGAACTTTTAAAATTAATGCATAAAGTCTATATAAACATGGGTCGAAAAACGCGTGGCTTCCGAAATACAGGGTGTTTAAATTTCCTTTCTAAAATAGTTTTTTTTTAATATTTCGAACAATATTTGATGTATAACAGTGAAAATTGGTATACAAGAATTTATTTGTACGACAAAACTGTAGCCGATAGAGGGCGATCTCTACTGTACCTGTAGTGTATTAAAATGACCGAAAAATTTTTCTTAGTGCAATTTTTTGCTTTTTGAATAAAAAAACTGTTTCTTCGCCTTTCTCAACATAAAAAAGCTCTCCTGTGAGTTTTCGTTGTAGTTAACCGTTTTTGAGATATTTCTTTTTTTAAGGTTCGATGCATTTTTAATTATTTATGGGAAAATAATATTTTTTTTTACATTTTCGATTTGGGCATTACAAGTGATCAAGATGATCGTTTAGATCGTGTTTTTAAACACATCAATAATTTCTAACTCCAAATAAACACAAAGAAACAGAATATTAATTTGTTTAATTTTCCAATATTATTTTTAACAAATTAAATTAATTATTTACAACTGAAATGCTATTGGATAGTTAGGACAAACATACAAAATCTAAAGTAGTTGCTCGAAATGTAAACCCAATTGTTCAATACACATTTCACATCTACGAATGATCGAAAATGGTATAGCACTATTCAAATAGGGCCTTATTTCATCACATGCATTCCTGATTCTGTCTATTAGCATATCTCTTGTGGTTACGGGAGTCTGGTACACTTTTTCATGCGACCAAATATGTTGATTATGAAAATTTACCATTCCACGTTTAGTGAAGCATGTCTCTTTGGTCCATAAAACGTTACTTAAAAACTCCCTATTATTATCAGTTCTATCAAGAATCCATTGACAAAATGTAATTCTTCGTTCTCCGTCCCCTGGCTGTAGTTCTTGCATAGGTTTCAAATGGTAAGGACATCTAACATGGCTTGCTGAAATTCCCAAAGCACCAGAAACTCTCCTAACACTTGTGGTCGGATCTCTATCAAACTCACGCAGAATCATACGGGTAAATCTGCGCTGACGAACATTTATGTTTTGATCCCTTTGGAGATTTCCAAAACCATTTTCAATTATTTGGCGATGCACTCTTACAAATACTGAGCGAGTTGGATGTCGTCTGTTTGGAAATCTACGTGCGTATTCTCTGGCTGCTTCTGCTGCGTTTCCATTTACAAAGCCATACACAAAATGAATATCGGCTAACTCTTGATTGGAGAATAAAAATGGCATTTTTATAAAACTTACAAAAAAAACAGGTAAAAGAAGTCAATCTACTTGACGAAATAGTTAGAGAGCCATCATAGGCGGAGTAACACGAATTAAAGGTTAGATGAAATTGGTGGTACATTTAAGGATCATAATATTCCGAAAAATATGTGCAGATGAACGCTGAAGTGGTATACAGGGTGTTTCAGTTTATTGTTGCATAACTTTAAGATTCGATAGAACTTTTAAAATTAATGCATAAAGTCTATATAAACATGGGTCGAAAAACGCGTGGCTTCCGAAATACAGGGTGTTTAAATTTACTTTCTAAAATAGTTTTTTTTTTTAATATTTCGAACAATATTTGATGTATAACAGTGAAAATTGGTATACAAGGATTTTTTTGTACGACAAAACTGTAGCCGCTAGAGGGCGATCTCTACTGTACCTGTAGTGTATTAAAATGACCGAAAAATTTTTCTTAGTGCAATTTTTTGCTTTTTGAATAAAAAAACTGTTTCTTCGCCTTTCTCAACATAAAAAAGCTCTCCTGTGAGTTTTCGTTGTAGTTAACCGTTTTTGAGAT